AACATAATGTATCAACATTATATCCCAGGTGTAATCATGCGCTGTTTTTCTAGCAAATTAGTCAATATTTTTTTGGTTTTCTTTTTACAAACAAGTGTTTCTCATCAACTATACTATCTGCATTTACTTGAATTTTGTACAATAGTAAACTTCATAAAAGCGATAGATAATACAGATCACATAATACAGTAAACGATAGAAACCAAATTTAAAAGGACTATTGAGATGCACAAGTTAGAGTTTTGATCGAACTTTAACCTTTCAATTTTCATCCTCACATCTATACATAAAAGAATTACAAATTACAGCAAATAATACAAATGCTATTTATTTTCCTATAATAATTAATTTGGAAGAAATAAAAATACATTTATGTAAAAAAACAAATACTGAACAATATTCGTGTCTTAATTGTAGTAAAATAGCGAGTTCGATACATTAATATAGTTTTATTCGCAGACACGGCATTACACTTACTTACTCTAGAAATACGGCAATAATAAAATGATTACAGCATAAAAGATATTCAAAAACTTTTCTTTTTGTTAGGACATAAATTTATTGAGAAAATTATAGTTTGTTAAAAGAAAAACAAATTTGACAATTATAGAAGAATTGATAACAAAACACAAGTCTATTGAAGATGATCGTAACCAACAACAAAAAATTAACTTAAGGAATTCAGAAAAAAGAGCAACAGATCTTCATGAAAAGAAATATCGATGAAAATATGATTACAATCTACTGTATCGATTTTCAAATAAATGAGTAGTAAAATAACGATTTTGTTTTTTTATTATCGATAAGCTGTGATTTAACCTATATAGTAATTCGTCACACTAAACCCATTCAAAGTAAAAATCAAAAGGAAAATGACTGTAAACGAACGTTATGAGAACTAATAAAAAAGTTCTTCACTGAACAAAATATGTCATAATATAGGATGGAAGGAGTCGAGTTTTTCCGCGATATATGATTTTTGATCTGATTCAGTAGTATGAGTCGTGCCTTTATCTCTCTGTCTCTTATCTCGATTCAATATTAATAATCGCTATTATTGGATGCTTTAACATTGAATCAGACTCAATGATGCGTCGATTGATTGATTGACGAAATGTTAGTTATTTATAAAACAGCAAGAGTTGAAAATAAATCAATACATCCCACATAAGTGAACTGAAAACGCGATGTATTTATTCATACAAAACAATGATTACGATTATTTAGAAGGATTATAATGAAAATATTGTAATATATTTTTGAGCGTACTTCATTTTGTTACATCCGAAAATACTTGCAAAGACAACATTGTACGTATCATAAATATTGAAGTTTATTCGAAATCACACTTCATCTTTTTGCTAAAACTAGATTAATATTTATTTTCAATTTCTTGCAGAAGAAAGAAATTTATATACGAAGAAAATTTATTTAACAAAGACGCTTTATTAATGGAAATATTCAGTAAAGACATCATTGTTTTAATGATATTGTGGAAACTATTATCACACTCGTACTTTGTACATAAAATCTATAATATTTCCTATTCTAAATCATTATACTGAATCACATTGAATTATATGACGATCGGAAAAAAAATAAGACAAACACCTATTTTTTTATATTTATATTGCATCTCTTTTCTCCAATTCTCTTTAATTTATATCTATTTTCTCTCTTTTTTGCACGTCAAAATTGAAATATGTAGCTATGCTGCCCGCTAACGTGACCCAAAAAGAAATGATGATTTTTTTTTTTTTATTTGGCAGAATAACTGTGACCAATATGTCCTTACAGTACGAGATTATATATAGAAAAGATGAGAGAGAAGGAAAAAACCAAAAAAAAAAAAAAAAAAGAAAATAGCAATAGCAATAGAGAACAATACAAGAACAGGTGAGAAAGAAATGAATGATAGTAGGAAACTTAGGATAAAATAGAGTATGTAGGATAATTAGCAAGCAAACATGCAGAGGGCAGAAAGATAAATTAGCTCAAATACTAAGAAAAAAAGAAATGATGATTTTTTTTCTCTTATATGAAACAGATGATCGTTTAACATTTCGCTGTATTGACTGAATGGATCCCTTTTCCGTCGAGTTTATTCAGTTCACTCATAAGAAAGAAACGAAAATTTTCTTTTTCTCTCTACCATATATTGACGAACAGCTACAACAGCACTCAACTCGTATATTAGACAAAATAATATACCTTAGGACGATATTGGTATGTATTTCCTTATATTCTTCTTCGTTTTATTTTAGCTAAGATAGAAAAACTATGCACTCAAGGCACAGAAGATTATAACAATTAATTGTTTATCGTTTGCATAATTTTTTCACTTCTAAATATTACATCTTAATTGTAACTGAAATCGATCCTATTCTAACTAGCGAACTAAAATTGGTTTTGTTTTCTTTAAGAAAAAAATAAAGGAAAAGTCATTTCTTCAAATTCTAATAAACTGTATCAAAGGACTTGCACATTGAAGCTGTAAGTCGTTCTTATTCTTAGAATGCACCATCAATATCAAAATATACATCAATTTTGAAATAGCTAAAAATGTTGATAGTATGAAACACAATGTGTAATGAGCGTTTTGATTTAAAGAAAAAAATTCTAATGTCGTCAACAGAAATGTTTTGAGAGAGAGAGAGAGATAGACGATTCACCGGTTTTTTTCAGAATCACCACCGTGGTAAAAAGTTGACACTCGATCTTTGAAAACTGTTCAATTCGTAATCCCCTTCAAGTGTTCCATTTATTTATTTTGAAATAATAGAAATATGAAAAATGAAAAAACTTTTTTTTCTAAATGTACCATAGAAATTAATGCGAAGTATTTAATTTTGAAGATACGAGACTATATTGTTGAACAAGTGAGTTTTATTAAATTTTGTTCTATTTTTTCACTGGTTGTATAGTTAAGAAAAAAAATTGGAAAAAATTTGTTTTTATGATACGATGTTAGAAACATTTTAAATTCTCATTGTAAATATTTTCATCCATATACAATCTATTCATAGAGTGAATGTTTCCAATAAAGAGGAAAAAAGTAATGGTTTATGTGGTTTGATTCAGGTACAGTTAGTTATTCGACATTCGTTTAGAAATATAATCCTTGAAATATGCTTTCAAATGTAGTGGAGTTAAGCTGAATATTCTTCTTTTACTTTCTGTTCTTGACGATGCAGTTTATTCATTCATTGTTATATCATATTAGCAAGAAAGTGGGCACATCGTTGTATATTATAATATATTAGCCTTCAGCAACAAGTAATATATGGCGTACAAAGTATGTTAGGAAAAAAACGTGGCATGTTTTTTACTGTAATACACAGAACGGATCAATGGTAAGTTAAGCAACATGAATTACCAATTTTTCGTCTTCAATGAAAATATTTGCCGGTTCATTTGTCTGTAGAACAAAATTTTCCTTTTTTTCCCAGTATAATAATCGGATGAAAAACTGAATTGACAAAGTTATAAGATCGAAAATGTGATTTAATACATTTGTATAACATCGAAATGAAGAAAAATAGGATATGGTTATCCACCAAAAGGTCTTGCCCGCTGATCTCTCAAGACTTATAGAACTGTTTATTTTTAAATCTTTTTCCAACTTAAGTATAAACTGTTTGAACTTTAGTAATATTCATGGAAGCTTGTAAAATGAATATAACTTTGTATTTTTATTTTGTTGTGTCAGTCTTTTTATTGATAATTAATAGTGATCGAACCTATACAAAGAAAAACAAAACATAATATATTTTTCTTTTTAGATAAAATGGTGACTAGAATGGAAACATTACCTAATGAAATTCTTCTGCGCATCTTTTCTCATCTACCATGGTTCGATATGTTAACGTCTTTATGGTCATTAAATTTTCGTTTCAATTCTCTTGTATGTTCGAGTCTTTCGATAAATGACAATCTATTGAATAGTGGTCTTATTATTACACATGGTCTATCATATAATAAATGTTGTTCAATATTATTTCCATTGATTTTAAATGTCTCGTCTCTTTCTTCCTCTATTCAACGTATTCATTTTGATGGAACAAGTTCAATTGCTTCTGATCTTTGTTATGAATGGCTTTTTAATGATAAAAATATTCTTCGTTTTCCTAATCTTAAATCACTTGTTCTTGCTCGATGTGGATCAATTGAACCAGTAGTTCAAAGTTTATTTTATCTTATTGAACATCAATTAGATGAACTTATATTGACATTTGATGAGCACGTATTCAAACGGATCTGTTATGAAGATACGCATTTGTCAATCGAGTCTGATATAGGTAGCAAATCATTTATTTCATAAATTCATTGAAATAAAATAGGACTATCTGTCTTGAAATAATCATTCTCAACTGACGTGAGACCATTAACATTTCATATGAATTCTTTCACGAAAAAAAAGCGAGGAGTATTTACAATGCAGCCTATATGATTCATTTTTGAGAAAACTTCTAGATGGAGTTCTATAATTGATAATTGTTTACAATCATTATTACTAAACGAACATCTAATTAGTAAAAGGTAACACGCTTGATGCTCCCAGGACAGTTGCTCTCATGATATTGCAAGCGGAGACTCATGTGAAGGTGAGAAAGATGAAGCGATCTTCATACAACTTGAGAACTTTTAAAGTAATTTTCGATTGCTCATAGGTTTCACCAGGTGCTGTTGAAAAGAAAATATCACTAGAGCAAGTGTCCGGTGAATAAGTATTGTGAGGAGTGGTGTCACATCCGAAATTTTGCAGATGCGATCACATCTCCCGCGGGAGATGCCGCATCTCCTGTGGTAGACGCGGCACCCACATCCAGGAGATGCGATCATCTACCATTGGGGAAATAAGGTCTCCTTTAGAGATGTCCATTCCCCACACCCGCATCTCCTACTAGAGAAACGGCATCTCCCGTGGCACATGTAGTTGCATCTCTAAAATCTAGGATATGTGACACTACTGGCCGTGAGAGCAACTGGTGTAGATTCCTAGTAAAACGAATACATAGCTCAAGACCACAACAATATAGTCATGAATCGACTTAGTTTTTCTTGCCGCAGTACGTTCTATCTGATGAGATAAGTCTGAGATTAAAATTAATTGATCACTTTGTAAGATTCCCTCATAATATATAGAAGTTATGATAAATAAAAATATCCAATTTAATAATTCATTGTTTTCTTATTATGTAAAACAAACATTAAATGTTAATAAGTACGTAGTATACCATTATGAAAACATTTTGATATGTTCTCAATTTTATCTGATGAATGTCTTAAACATATTCCAGTCATTTATTCACTGAAATATTCAGTTGACTCAATAGAAATATATTTTCTTTTGAATAATAAAAAATAGCTTATTTTTCTTTTTCTTTGATCAACATTAGAAAAACAAATGACCATGATCCAACAACTTCTTTGTCAATTATTCTCTGGTCAATGTCAATTAAAATCTCTTCGAATTGATATTAGTAACGAATTTAAGAACGGTATTATTCATCACTGTTTAAAATCAAACTCTAATCTGTCTTCAAATTTAATTCAATATCAACTTCAGTCGTGTAATATAACTCTTCGCCGTTTACATATTCGACTTAATCAACCATGTTTTTTTGAAAATCTTATTGAATATGTACCCAATCTCGAACAAATGTCAGTTGAGTTTTATTCTTCATTACAATTCAATTGTCTACGGAAATCGAACGATCTTGAAACACTGAAGAAATCAAATGAAAATTGGTTTAATAAAGTAAGAAAAAAGAGAAAAGCAAAAATCATTTTTGCTCATTTTAAGAATTTTTCAAATAATTATTTCTTTTGATTGATGAAAAATAATCGTATCCCTTTAGATACCAAAACTACAATGTTTTAGTTTAAAAACTTTCATTTCTGAAGATACAGAATTTGTTTATTTGAAATGGGTTCTCAACAATTTAAATTATGTTGAAAAACTTGAACTTCATCTCAAAAGTGTTATACTAATCGAAACAAAATGTCAAAATATATGGAAATCTTTTATTGATGCAAATTTCATTCGTCAATATTGTTTACCCGATACAATACCTAATTTAACATATTTCAATTTTTATATTTGTTCACAATGTCAATTATCATTTAATGATATTGAAAAAATAACAAATTCATTTAAAATTCATTCTTTTTTTATTTCATATCAATGGACAAATGTAAAATGTTTGTTTGATCCAATCATGTCGTGTCAGCATCTTTTCTCTTCTTTTACTAATACATCTCAATTCTCTAATAATCAAATGTATGATATTTATTTATATTAAAACTCGTAGAGATTCTTAAATTAACTGCACTTTTTTCTTTTAGTAATTATTCATTTATTTTTAATTGGCCATATATTGACAATCTCTTTTTCCATCCGTATCCATCACTTCATTTATTTCTCGAACGATTTAATGAATTATCTCCTAATATTTCTTGTATTAAAATATACAAAAGTAAGTTGCTTTGCTATTTCAATGAATTTCCTGAAGATGGAACAAATAAATAGATGACAAAGTTTAACATATTCATATAATTTCGTAATAATTATCTTTCATCAAGTGTCGGAAAAAAAGAAAAATATTGCTTATGAGAAGAAAGATTTCTCATAGACATTAAACATTTATCTATCTTGTTCTCAACTAAATTCAATCAAAAAATATCAAAACAATATTTCAAACAGAGATATACCTGAGATCCAGAAATTGGAAATTCTATAGAATTTCACCAAGTATTCGAGGAATTCAACAGCTGGTGAAACTCTATAGAATTCTATATTTCTAGCGGAACTCAAGGAACTTAACTGATCTATAATACTCACCCTCACCCTCACTCTCTGTGTGACATGGAATTTGGAACAAGGGGAATTCTATAGAATTTCCATTTTCCGGATCTCGGGTATTGCTGTTCAAATAAATGAAATTTCTTTTGTTTATAGACTCTGCATATTTTATCAAGTCAGATCTTCAGATGTCATCAGAAACTTTATTCAAAATGAGACAATACAAATGGATTGATATTCCTTTTCGAAATGTTACAAAAATTCAATTTGGAACACATTTTGATCGAAGTAACGGTTAGTATTAGTTGTGTTTCTTTCTTTTATGATTTAAAAAAAAAATTAATTCTTCAGTTATAGCTAAAAGAAAATATTATTTGTACGTTTTCTAAATTTTTAAATTTCATATAAAAATTATCTTTTTTTTATATTATTTTTCTGAAATGATTTTATTTTTTGCGTTACAGATATGATACTTATATTAAGACTTTGAATATAGATTTTCAACGACGAATGTTGAGAAGCATTTCTGTAGTCATAAACAAAACAACTCATGGGAAAAGTAGTTGTGTAGTATTCTTCTAGCAACGAATATTGGAATTCTATATTCGAACTTCTCTTATTATTAGAAAAAAAAGACTGCAATACTACATACAGAATAATTTAGTTTTTAAGTGCATGATATTCTCATGATTTTAATCAATCATACTCACATGAAAGATTCAAACATCAATAGTGTAAAGACAAAATTAAATTTTCTCGTTCAATATTTATTCTACAAACTATTAATTAGAAAATCTTCTATTCATATATCACTTTCAGATGTACAATCTAAATAGCAGATTTCAGAAAATGAGTTTCTCATTTAGAGTGTCGATTAGAATCAGTTAACTCCATTGTTCAATAGATATTTTTTTAAGATAATTATGTAAAATAGAATTCTTTTTTTAGCATTGCACATGAAACCAATACGTCGAAATCAGCTGCGTGAAAAAGTACTTGTTCATCTCATTTCAATGACTGTGCAACTCAAATGTCTTCTAGTTGAAGAATTTGAATGGCTTTTACATGTGGTTCAATATGTAAGACTTTCTTTTATTTTTGTTTTATTTTAAGTTCACCAAAATATTTCTCTTATACAGCTTGAGTCATATATATGTATACGATAAAAAATTTGAATATCTCCATTACGGCTCGAGCAAATGAGCTGATTTTTTTTATCAATGATAGAGACATGTTCAAAGTTTATATTCATAAAGACATGCCTAGAGAGACTCTTTCTTAAGTATCACTATTGATCTCAACAAAAAAAAATTACTTTTTCACATATAGGAAAGAAACAATATATTTAACAAAGGGTCTCTCTAAGCATGTCTTTATGAATATAAAGCTTGAACATGCCTCCATTATTGATAAAAAAATCAGTTCGTTTGCTCGAGCCGTAATGGAGATATTCAAATTTTTTATCGTATACATATATATGACTCAACCTGTACATAATTGAGTTGAATATATTTTCAAGTCAAATTCTGTAAGGTCAGTTTAAATCGTATAAAAAATCGTTATTTCTCTCCAGTGGCGTACGCAGAAATTTTTCAAGGGGGGGGGGCAGCCCGCCATGCCACAAAAAATTTTTTGTCACGCGGAAATA